CTCTCCAAATTTTAAGAGGCTCTCCAAAGCTCTCCAAAGCTCTCCAAGCTCTCCAAGCTTCAGAGGTGGTTGAAACTTGGAGAATCCCGCGGTTTGGGATCAGCGCATGCGAACTAGGCTAAAAGCCACGTGTTGATCATGAGTGTACGCATTTCCCTTTTCGCATACGCACAGCGCATACTATTTTCGCGGCACTCAAGATCGCGGCCTCTTTGGCGCTTCATTTTGCTTGACAACTGCAAAATATCTCCGAATTCTTCGAGACCCGTTCTTGAAGAATCCCAGTTTCTTCGACTTCTCTTTTCTTCTGCTCCTAGAAGCTAGAGAATTTAAGAACGCACCCTTACTTTGGCGAACGAACGAATATTCTGTATTCTTCTGAAGTGGCTCAGTCACGTGATCACCTCAATCAATCAAACCCAACAGTCATGTAAAAAAAAGTAAATTATCGTATCCGTTTTGGAAGGGAACTCACGACGGCCGCTGACATCCGATAAACCCTAAACAGTCATGTTGTCATGTAGGGAAAACGTGGATAGTAAAATATTTTAAAAATCCACTGGTGAAAGAGCAAATCTGAACAAAGAACTGGGTGGTAACCAGCAGCCAGTGTACGCCAGTGTATGCCAGAGCATGCCAGTGTATGCCAGAGTATGCCAGTGTATGCCAATGTATGCCAGTGTATGCCAGTGTATGCCAGAGTATGCCAGAGTATGCCAGTGCATGCCAGAGTATGCCAGTGTATGCCAGTGTATGCCAGAGTATGCCAGTGTATGCCAGAGTATGTCAGTGCATGCCAGTGTATGCCAGAGTATGCCAGTGTATGCCAGAGTATGCCAGTGTATGCCAGTGCATGCCAGAGTATGCCAGTGTATGCCAGAGTATGCCAGTGCATGCCAGAGTATGCCAGTGTATGCCAGAGTATGCCAGAGTATGCCAGTGTATGCCAGAGTATGTCAGTGCATGCCAGTGTATGCCAGAGTATGCCAGTGTATGCCAGAGTATGCCAGTGTATGCCAGTGCATGCCAGAGTATGCCAGTGTATGCCAGTGTATGCCAGTGCATGCCAGAGTAAGCCAGTGTATACCAGAGTATGCCAGTGTATGCCAGTGTATGCCAGTGCATGCCAGAGTATGCCAATTGCCAGTGCATGCCAGTGTATGCCAGTGCATGCCAGTGTATGCCAGTGCATGCCAGAGTATGCCAGTGTATGCCAGTGTATGCCAGTGCATGCCAGAGTATGCCAGTGTATGCCAGTGTATGCCAGAGTATGCCAGTGTATGCCAGAGTATGCCAGAGTATGCCAGTGTATGCCAGAGTATGCCAGTGTATGCCAGTGTATGCCAGTGCATGCCAGAGTATGCCAGTGTATGCCAGTGTATGCCAGTGCATGCCAGAGCATGCCAGTGTATGCCAGTGTATGCCAGAGTATGCCAGAGTATGCCAGTGTATGCCAGTGCATGCCAGAGTATGCCAGTGTGTGCCAGTGCATGCCAGTGCATGCCAGAGTAAGCCAGTGTATGCCAGAGTATGCCAGTGTATGCCAGTGTATGCCAGTGCATGCCAGAGTATGCCAGTGTATGCCAGTGCATGCCAGAGTATGCCAGTGTATGCCAGTGTATGCCAGTGCATGCCAGAGTATGCCAGTGTATGCCAGAGGATGCCAGTGTATGCCAGTGTATGCCAGAGTATGCCAGTGTATGCCAGTGCATGCCACAGTATGCCAGTGTATGCCAGTGCATGCCAGAGTATGCCAGTGTATGCCAGTGTATGCCAGTGCATGCCAGTGTATGCCAGTGTATGCCAGAGTATGCCAGAGTATGCCAGTGTATGCCAGTGTATGCCAGAGTATGCCAGAGTATGCCAGTGTATGCCAGTGCATATCAGTGTATGCCAGTGTATGTTTTCTCGCAGCTGTACCCTGGTCTCAGGTCCTTGCCTCCCACTGCATCGACACGGCTGTCTCCGCATTGACTGACATCCTTGAAGGTGCCTTGGACCTATATATAGGAAGATCCTCACCTCCTCGTCGGAAATCACGCCACAAACCCTGCCCCTGGATGACTCCATCACTGAAAGCAGCTATTAAAGTCAAGAGCGATCTCTACAGCATCTACCGGAAATACCCATCCCCTACAAATTTCAACAAATACAAACACCAACGTAACTATGTAAAATGCCTTTCCAGATCCTGCCATCGCTGCTACATCCGCAACCTCCGTGCCACGATATCTCCCACAAACCCTCGCCTCCCATCCCTCCCTGTGCTCATTCGTCAACTGCGAAATCCTACCAGCGCCCGGGTTATACCTTCGAAGATGGTGGGCCCAAATGGTCGAACAAGCACCTCTCCGGCATCCATTGGTAACTTATTGAACCGCCACTTCGTTAGTGCTGGCTTACAGGTTGATCCCGATGCTCCTATTCCCACTATTTCCTCTCTACCTCCACCAGCAACTACATTGCACTCCCTGATCATCACCTCATCGACTGTTCACAAGTATATTGCAAGACTGCCTCTGAACAAATCCCCCGGAGCTGATAGGATCACCAATGAGATCCTCAGGAAAATGAGCTACTCAATTGCCCGCCCACTCTCCATTCTTTTTAACCTTTCCCTCTCCTCCGGCACATTCCCGTCACGATGGAAGTCAGCCACTGTCATTCCAGTGTACAAAAATAAAGGCGATAAGAACAACCCGTCTAATTACCGACCAATCTCCCTCCTGTCCTGCGTCTCCAAACTGCTAGAGAGAATAGTGTACGACCGCTTGTACGACCATATCTCCCCTCTTCTTCACCCCGCACAATCTGGCTTCCGTCGTAAGGACAACACATCCCTGCAATTATCCCGCATAATCCAAGACCTCTGCTCCCTAAAAGACCAGCGGCAGGTCTCCTGCATCTGTTTCTTCGACCTCTCCAAGGCCTTCGACACCGTGTGGCACAAGGGTCTGATCGCCAAACTTCGTGCCCATGGTGTCTCCGGCTCCCTACTCGCCTGGATAACTAGCTACCTCTTGGACCGAAATCAGTGCGTCACAGTAAATGGAACCTTATCTGACCCCGAGTCTGTGACATCCGGAGTGCCCCAGGGCTCCATTTTAGGTCCCCTGCTCTTCCTCACATACGTTAATGACCTCCCCTATTCAATTCCCAATATTTCTTTGTTTGCAGATGATACCACTGTCCTTGCTTCCTCCCCATCTCACGCCACCCTGTACCCCAAAGTTCAGACCTGTATCAACGACATTGTTCACTGGATGAGCACTTGGTACCTTAAGCCAAATGTGACCAAAACCGAGCTCCTCCTGTTTCCCCCTCCCACAGATCCAGTTCCCATCTTCCACTTTCCCGATGATCCCGGTCACCCTATCTCTGTAGCGCCCCACCATAAACACCTTGGCATTGTCATAGATTCCGCCCTCTCCTGGTCTCACCATGCTGATCATGTGTCGTCCAAAGTATGCCGATCTGTCGGCATAATGTCAAGTCACTTGTCCCATTTGCCCAAAAATTGCCGGATTAATTTTTATAAATCATACATTCTTCCCCTCTTCACGTACGGCTTCCCTGCCTGGTCCACCATTAACAAAACCCACATAGGTAAATTAGAAGTTCTCCATCGCCGTATACTGCGAATCATATTCCGTACTGATCGTTATACCTCAAATCTAGACTTGTATGCTGCTGCATCCACTACCACTCTGCAACATTACCTTGATGCTTCCAAGTGCACCCTGGCGCATTCAATTTTCCTTGACCAGCACCCTGCTCATTTACAGTCCCTTAATTGGTTCAATTCAGGTGGCACCACCCGAAGCTGCGTTCGTCTCCCCCTAGCTAGGTCTACCCTATTCGTAAATTCCCCTTTCTTTTCCTCCTACTCCACGTGGCTCCAACTGCCTCCCAGTGTTAGACAAGCTCCAGATATGCCCAAATTCCGTACCCTCGTCAGACAGCACTTCAGTATCTCCCAGTAAACAAAGTCAATGTCACCACTTCCGCTGCATAGCTCGCTGAGCATCCCATTGCTTTGTAAGTTGCTAATCCCTTCCCACTTTGTGTACGTGCTCTTAATTTTCTTTTTTTCTCTTCTTCCGTGGTTGGTCTCACCCTCTCCTCAATTCAATTGGCTGTCTTGACATGCCACGAGGTGCAGAAATAAATAAATAAAATAAATAAATGCCAGAGTATGCCAGTGTATGCCAGTGCATGCCAGAGTATGCCAGTGTATGCTAGTGTATGCCAGAGTATGTGGTGTGGTGTGTGTGTGTAAAAAAAAAGGTAAAAATGAAAATAGGGATTCACTGTAGGCATTGGCGGATAATGCTCGAAAAGGTGGCAGATTCTGCTCGAAAGCGGCAGTGAAATTGGCAGAACCATACAAACATTATGGTGGGCAATTCCTCGAATTCTGCTCTATTTCTTTATCCACATACCAAACATGCATGAAACTTACCAGAAAAAGTAACGAATTCTGCCAATTTTTCTTCCGGCATTATCCGCATATGCCCAATTCACTGGCCAGAATAAGCCACTTCAATCAGATGTGTGAATGATACGAGGCTAAAATTAGTGATGGTCAATTCATCAGCCTTCCAAGCTGTTGAATGGTGTAATCCCAGCACAATTTCCTATGTCTAACATAGCTGTTCGCTATCATCGCTTTCGCGACGGGCAGGTCTGAGGCGTGTGTGTGTGTGTGTGTGTGTGTGCGCGTGCATGGGGTAGGGGGGGGGGGACACAGCCCCATTCTCCACCATGGCTATCGTCAATTTGTTCAGTGAGCTAGGCCAGTATGCAATACTTTAGATTGTTTTACTTATTAACAACAGATAAACTACAAAATTCAAATTCTTCACCACCAGCATCAATGAGGACTCAGAAAACCCTGGTGCTGGAATACTCTGAGTCGCCATTGATGATGGTGATGAAGAGTTTGAAATTTGTAGCTTACTAGGGGAGTCCCAACAGGCTACTTTTCTGTCACTAAAAAGTTTCCTGTCCCCGAGAAATTTTTTCAAACATTATTCTACAAGATACTTTTCAGTACTAGAGAAGCAACGCAAGAGAAAGACCGGTGGACGCACAATGGCAGGAAAACTAAGTAGTTCACCTAAACACAACAAGACGGAGAAAGAAAACTAATGTGGTGTTTACAAGAAGTGCGTAAAGACCGCATCGCAAAACACCGCGTATAAAACAACATGAGCAGTTCACAGTCGGTGTGTTGGTATGTTGGTGTGAGCATGTATGGCAGAGTTACAGCAGCATTCTCACATCCAGGTTGAGGCATGGAACACACGGTTGCCAGACGCAGCTCACGTGGCCCGATGTCATGCCACGCCGACTGCCATGCTGGCCCGACACACACACCACACACACACACACGGCACCGATACATGGCACCGGCATCAGTTCTCGCCTTATAGCTGGCTGCAAGCCGTGGGTACGATGAAGATGTTAGGGTCTGAAATACCTCCTGTACAACCATGAGAAACGCAGAACAACAAAACAATATCAGAAGATTACATTATGACAAACACACACTTGCCACTGGACATGTACTTTTGTTCGGTACATTGAAATCTGGTCAGATGAAAAGAGAGAGTTAGCACTTAGAATCCTGCACCATAACCCAACCCTTGGAGCCACACCCACTGCACCTTCACAGCATAATGACATCTTAGTGACATCACAGTGACGTCATAATAACATCATACCGACGACATGATGTCATAATGATGTCATAATGACATCACACTGGCAGAACAACAGCATCCCAACTTCTGGCTGCATAACGACCGACCAATGAGAGTTTGATGCATTATTCAGGGTGTAAAACTAAGGGAGTACAGCCTTGCGGTTCTCTGAGAGGATCTTCGTTTCAGTAGCAAGAAAAGATGCTCATATGTTTGAACAGTTTGCTACGGTAGGATACTGAAAGTGACACAGGCTCACATACCCCCCACTGAGAGCTGGAGACGTTCACAGTGAGTAGGTCAGTGGACAAGCCCATTGAGCAGGGTTGAAGGGCGGGTAGCGAAACAGCGGATAATCGAGTCGGCGCCCTTCCGTGTCAGCGCCCCCCCCCCCCCCACACGCACACACACATGCCCTACACTACATGTACACATATCATTGAACATCCTCCTCCGCACTCACACATAGAGATGCACAAACACAGTCATACATGCATGCACAAGCACACGCAAATCCACCCACACAAGCACACGCAAATCCACCCACACAAGCACACGCAAACGCACACACACACACACACACACACACACACACACACACACACACACACGTGCGCACACACGCACAGCAATAGACACAAATATCATAACATGTCGTATTTCCAATTATTTTACTGCTTTACCTGTGATGTCATAGAAATGGTTGGTGACGGAGTTGGTGATGTTGGTCTTGAAGATGACCTCGCTGACTGGGACACAGCTACGGGCCGTGAACCCACCAATCCACGTCAAACCTACCAAACAGAACATGTACATGCATGTACACATGCACGCCCACACACGCACGCACGCACACGCCCGCCCACGCACGCACACACATACACACGAATTTTAATGATAACTGTAAGACAAGGTTTGCAGAAGGGGATGCTATTAATAGCAACCGAATGCTTTTTGCCGTAAGTTGGCTCCAAACGAATTGCACCGATTGTCAAGAGAATCGTATCAATACGGACGGATTACTAGCGTGCAAGAACAAAGTGTAGTCACAAACAGAATAAAACACCAAGAATTCTAGTCGGAGACACGATTTCTGTCAGCAAGCAAAAAGACCACAGCCCCAAGAGCACAGCTAAGAAAGGGAAGACATATGAAATGACACACACACACACACACACACACACACACACACACAGAGGATTCTGCTTACGTCCGGCAGCAATGCGGTCAGACCACTCATGGACCTCGAAGCTCTCGTCAAGACCAAAGCCGATTGTGTGGGCTCCCTCAAACGTGGCGTTCTTGGGGATCTCGTACATACGGAAGTAGGGATCCTCGCGCACCTCACAATGACGTGTAGCCTGGTTAATGATGTAGATCTTGTGCTCATTGCCTAGCTCCAGGTACTCATAAAACCTATAGCAGAGCGTATAGAGAACACCAAGAACGGCGGTCACACATGTTTACACAAACGCATTGCATAGTGAGTCGTTCGTTAGCTAGGTTTACCTATCTTTTCTCATAGAGGTCCAGCAGCGATATAGACCATCGCCATATTCACCACACACACACACATCAAGCAATGGAGCATACAGATTCATTGTGATTCCGAGTTTCTTGCAGCAATCATCCCGCAGACAACTTCTCTAGACTCCCAATACCATCAACCCCACGAAAACTGACCTTGGAAAGGGGCTTGGGAAATAGTTTTGTTATTCACGAGTTCTTGTTATTCACAATAATGACAGTAGTCGACTGGTTACTACATCGGAGGGCAGTGCCGTTATTCGCTACAGTACTGTCGGTCGCCGAAGAACTGGGGGGGGGGGGCAGTCTCCTAGCCTAGACCGTTCTTATTTTCATGTATTACAGTCTATGGGCAGTTGAGTCACCGTGTATACATTGGTATGCTGTGCTTGACGAAATTCTAGCTTGGTCGTTCTTCGGCGCTCCGTTCTTTGGCGCCCCGTTCTTCGGCGCTCCGTTCTTCGGCGCTCCGTTCTTCGGCGCTCCGTTCTTCGGCGCTCCGTTCTTCGGCGCTCCGTTCTTCGGCGCTCCGTTCTTCGGCGCTCCGTTCTTCGGCGCTCCGTTCTTCGGCGCTCCGTTCTTCGGCGCTCCGTTCTTTGGCGCTCAGTTCTTCGGCGCTCCGTTCTTCGGCGCTTCGCTCTTCGGTGCTCCGTTCTTAGGCGCTCCGTTCTTCGGCGCTCCGTTCTTCGGCGCTCCGTTCTTCGGCGCTCCGTTCTTCGGCGCTCCGTTATTTGGCGCTCCGTTCTTCGGAGCTCCGTTCTTTGGCGCTCCGTTCTTTGGCGCTCCGTTCTTTGGCGCTCCGTTCTTCGGCGTTCCGTTCTTCGGCGCTCCGGTCTTTGGCGCTCCGTTCTTTGGTGCTCCGTTCTTTGGCGCTCCGTTCTTCGGCGTTCCGTTCTTTGGCGCTCCGTTCTTCGGCGTTCCGTTCTTTGGCGCTCCGTTCTTTGGCGTTCCGTTCTTTGGCGCTCCGTTCTTTGGCGCTCCGTTCTTTGGCGCCCCGTTCTTCGGCGTTCCGTTCTTTGGCGCTCCGTTCTTTGGCGCTTCGTTCTTCGGCGTTCCGTTCTTCGGCGTTCCGTTCTTCGGCGTTCCGTTCTTCGGCGCTCCGTTCTTCGGCGCTCCGTTCTTTGGCGCTCCGTTCTTCGGCGCTTCGTTCTTCGGCGCTTCGTTCTTCGGCGCTCCGTTCTTCGGCGCTCCGTTCTTCGGCGCTCCGTTCTTCGGTGCTCCGTTCTTCGGCGCTCCGTTCTTCGGCGCTCCGTTCTTCGGCGCTCCGTTCTTCGGCGCTCCGTTCTTTGGCGCTCAGTTCTTCGGCGCTCCGTTCTTCGGCGCTTCGCTCTTCGGCGCTCTGTTCTTTGGCGCTCCGTTCTTAGGCGCTCCGTTCTTAGGCGCTCCGTTCTTCGGCGCTCCGTTCTTCGGCGCTCCGTTCTTCGGCGCTCCGCTCTTCGGCGCTCCGTTCTTCGGCGCTCCGTTCTTGGGCGCTCCGTTTTTCGGCGCTCCGTTCTTTGGCGCTCCGTTCTTCGGCGCTCCGTTATTTGGCGCTCCGTTCTTCGGATTTCCGTTCTTCGGAGCTCCGTTCTTTGGCGCTCCGTTCTTTGGCGCTCCGTTCTTCGGCGTTCCGTTCTTCGGCGCTCCGTTCTTTGGCGCTCCGTTCTTTGGTGCTCCGTTCTTTGGCGCTCCGTTCTTCGGCGTTCCGTTCTTTGGCGCTCCGTTCTTCGGCGTTCCGTTCTTTGGCGCTCCGTTCTTTGGCGTTCCGTTCTTTGGCGCTCCGTTCTTTGGCGCTCCGTTCTTTGGCGCCCCGTTCTTCGGCGTTCCGTTCTTTGGCGCTCCGTTCTTTGGCGCTCCGTTCTTCGGCGTTCCGTTCTTCGGCGTTCCGTTCTTTGGCGTTCCGTTCTTTGGCGCTCCGTTCTTCGGCGTTCCGTTCTTTGGCGCTCCGTTCTTTGGCGCTCCGTTCTTTGGCGCTCCGTTCTTTGGCGCTCCGTTCTTCGGCGTTCCGTTGTTTGGCGCTCCGTTCTTCGGCGTTCCGTTCCGGCGGGCATGACATGTATACAATCACATGGCTTCATCCTATGGAGAGTGGACCAGCTCGAGGAAGTTTCGGAGCAGCTTTCCGGCAGAAGGTGTGTTCTCGGAATGTCCAAAAAAACTTCACGGTTCGCGTGAGACTCGGCTGGACGCCGAGTTTTCCTCATCCGCAGGAACGCCACCACCCTCTAGGATCAAGGCGCAGATGCAGCTCCGGCTAAGCGGTGGGAGGGGTCTGTTGATTAGTCTCACCACAAAAAGCGGTCAAAGAGCGAAATCATGTTCACTGCATCCATGCAACCATCGGAATGTCCAATAAAATTATGGTGAAATTTGTCTAAGAACAGTTCCCCTTTCACGTTCTCTTAGTTGACAAATCTTTACTTTAGCCTAGTTAAGGTCAGAAATATAGAGTAAGTACATATACATGTAGTTAGATGCACACAGCCCCCCCCCCCCCCCCCCCAGTTTGTTTGGGGTGGGTGGGTTGGGGGAGACCACGTTGAGTGAATGCACAACAAAAGGCTGGTCCAAGACAACCTGTCCCATGCATCCATAGTTCCATACACACATGATGTACAACTGCACAATGTCATGAACATGAACATGATTACGTAATGGTTTCTGTATGTTTGCTCATCTCTGCTAATGAACACTTGAACATGCCTGTACATCGTGTACATGTACAAAATGTACATGTGGGTACTCCTAGGGGATTCCCCCAGTGGAGAGAGGAGAAATCAACAAGTGTTACTTTTCAATAATTTTGATATTCAAGAGCTCCTGTGGAGTACCATTACATGCACGGAGCACTGCCCCTACAAGGCATAACTCGGACAAGACATAGTGGCGTCACTTCCACAGTACTACAAGTAGTATCACTTGGCGATAGGGCTTGAAAGTGATGACGTCAAAAACGGCCTGGGAGTAGTAAATTGACATCAGATTTCTATTTTGGATCCACTAAGGTGTGACTTTGCTATTGCCTCAGTATGTGGGTGCATAGCAACCCACTCATGTCGTATGCAGGTGCAACTTTTACTTCGCCACCAGTTGTCACCCCGCCCCCACTAGCCAAATCAGTCAGTTTCACTGGCAACATCACCTTGCTGTGAGTGAGACCGCTTGAAATGTGCTTGGATCCATACAAAAACTGGATCCAGGTGGATCCAGTTTTCGAATTTTTCAAATTGTTGCTATGCCATTGCTATGGAGTGACGTAGCACTTTCAAGCCCTATTGGCATCATCATTGCTTAAATTAACAGGACATTCTGATGCATCGGCATGCACGCAACTCGCACCACAACAACACTACAGTCTAGTGTTGCGCAATGAAATCCGATCCCAAGACCAAATTAGCGCAGCATTTCCATTTCAATTGCATCATGCACGTTCGAAAATCGAATCCGACGGCCGCAGGGGCCGCATGAACCTTGACTCTGCTCTAGCAAGAGCACACGGGTCGGATTTCTTTGGCCAAGACAGACTACATGTAGATTCTCAGATTTCCGTCTTTCTTATCAACAATTCATTACAAAAGGGGCTGATCTGAGCCGGCTGACTTACTCTCTGCCTGGTGTGAACGCGTCGATCTCCTCCAGGATACGACGTCGCTTGTTCACAGCATCGTAGCTGATGCGGAATCGGTTGTTCTGTCCCGCGCCGTGGTCATACGCCGAAGCGCGTGCTTCCCAGGCCAGCGGAGTATCGCAAGGTTCTGGCCGTTGAGAAACCACCACCGTGGCAAGGCACACGAGAAGCGCAGCGACGCGAATCATGTTGACGCTTAGAAAAAAGATTTGATGAGCAGTGAGAAAGACACGTTGAGTGAGTGGCGCACACGCAACCAAGAGATTCTGGGCCCGTTCCTAGGCGTGGCGATTGTTTTTATTTGCACGCCTTTCTGGTCGCTGTGTGTGAGATTCCTGGCCACGGTGAAGTGAAGTCAGAAGACCAGCGCATGCAGCGGTATCCCTATGGCTATGCCTATTCTTTTGCAATATATTACTCGGACTTGAGTTGAGATTATGGCGTGGTGTAAGCGTGCAGTCTTCCAGACCCGATGCGCTGGTGGTCAACGACATGGTTACGTGATTTGCAGCTCGATTCTGGCACGATAGTTGTGTACACTGTCTTAGCGTGATCGGCATGTGACCGTCTTTTGGAGCTGATAGTAAGTGATAGTGTCAAACTCGACACAGACTCTGACTACAGACTAGTCGATAGAGCTACATGAAGATCTAGACTATAAATATAACAGCATCTATGGCCCAGTATGGGAGGGAGCTCTGGGGGACACAGACTGACAGAGAGCTACTGACCTGTCTGTACATGTAGTCAGTGTAGAGAGCGTAGATCTACTACTGGCAGTCTGTAGCCATGGTAGCTGGTACTACTACAGTGTAGTGTCACTGTGTGTATGTAGCTGGAAACGTCTGCAGATGTTCATGTGACATGTGATCTGATGACAATGTCATCAGACATGTCATGTGACATGCGATCTGATGGCTCAGTTAGTCAAGCTTGCAAGTCACAGTGTCAGTGGCAGTGCTACTGCTAGACTGCATCACACGACGCAGTGCAGTGCCCTGCGATGACGTTTCACTGTACGTACAGTCAGAGTATAAGTATAACTAGTCAGTCCAGTCAGTTCAGAAAAAGATGAGCGCTGGCCCTGGAGATCGAGAGCTACCGTGTTTGTTGATGTTGCCAGTGCAGCGAGATTCGAAACTTGAAAAAGGGTCCAAAAAAGGTACCTCAACTGGCGTTTGAACCGCAGATGTACTGTTCTGCAAGTGGAGTGCACGGGTTGGATTTTCATGGTTTTTCCCCAATTCAGTGCTTTGGGGGCAAAACCTGGCCGAAATCCTATTCTTGTTATGGCTTGCTTTTTGGAGAAATAGACTTCAAAAACACAATTGGAAGAGCATTCCATGGGGGATTGCTAAAAATTGTGACAAAACTCAAAATTTGACCCATTTATGGCCAAAAGCTAGGATATCATCTTTTTCTGGATGGACTGTAGTCAACTTAATTATTACTTTTTACTTTGCGAATAACTACACTCGGCGGTGCCCTAGCCCTTGGCGGATTATGCTGGCGTCTGGCACAAGCTTCGGATTTTGTCCAAAAAATTATGCCCTGGCATAAAAGGACTTCTGAGACCAGACGGTTGGCATAACCTTACAATGGTGGCTACTACATGGTATTGGATAAACCTTGTTTTTGTTCCTCCCTCCGATAACCTACTACGTGTATTATAATTATTACACTGTAACAGGTAAGAAAAGGGTTCGCTCCCCACACCGGAGCTCGCGCTATTCCGCCGACTTTACTTGACACTTGACTGACTCACGACTGCCATCCAGAGCACACGAGAAATCCATCGAACCTTCGACTCGGCAAACCTGCAAGAAAGCACCACTCCCTGCTCAATACACAGTGTTTCGGGGAATTCACCCCTCATCAGTTGAGCTTGAGTAGGCTGAGGAAGATTGTGCCTGAAGAGCACCACTTATATACTGTAAATATACAAAATTTCGGTGCTACAAAATTTCGGCACTTCACCATTTTTGACATTTCGGCGGCGATTTATTTTCGGCGTGGGGTAGATAGCATGGTATAGTGCGACAGATGCTGTGAAAAATTTCATCGGCGTTTTAATTTAGGCGTTTTGGGTCGGTGCCGAATATAGCCGAAATTAAATAGCTGCCGAAAATTTGTATATGTACAGTAGTGCTCTCCAGACACAAACATCACCAGGGATACAAACTTACAGAGACGCTCCGTTTCCAGCATGACAAACACCTCGTGAACACCAGATAGCAGCGTGAGTCAGTGTCGCTCCTGGACGGTGAGACAGACGTCGAGGTCCCTCGGTCATTCGCAACGCTGTCACCTCCAAACCAACTAGTCGCCCCCTGGTGATGTTTGTGCCTGGAGAGCACTATATAAGTGGTGCTCTTCAAGCACAATCTTCCTCAGCCTACTCAAGCTCAACTGATGAGGGGTGAATTCCCCGAAACACTGTGTATTGAGCAGGGAGTGGTGCTTTCTTGCAGGTTTGCCGAGTCGAAGGTTCGATGGATTTCTCGTGTGCTCTGGATGGCAGTCGTGAGTCAGTCAAGTGTCAAGTAAAGTCGGCGGAATAGCGCGAGCTCCGGTGCCAGTGGGGAGCGAACCCTTTTCTTACAAATCATCGCCGAAGTCGCAACCACTACTTCGTACTACTGTAACAGGTTTAGTGGGTTTGGGGAGGGAGGAACAAAAACACAATCATGTTGCTAGTCGCGAGTTGTAGTTACCCAAACAGTCGTTATATCCGAAGTTAAATGTATACGGTTAGATGGGACTTTGCTCTGGGCATGGACATTCGGTCGTTACTCACAAATTGTCCTTATATCCGCAGTCGTTATTACTACATTAGCGAAGTTGACTGTACGTTCTGGGAAGCTGATTACTGGCCTTACAGGATGGCTCAGTTATGGGTATGGCTCAGTGTAAAGGTATGGCTCAGTGTATGGGTATGGCTCAGTGTATAGGTATGGCTCAGTGTATAGGTATGGCTCAGTGTATGGGTATGGCTCAGTGAATGGGTATGGCTCAGTGTATGGGTATGGCTCAGTGTATAGGTATGGCTCAGTGTATGGGTATGGCTCAGTGTATGGGTATGGCTCAGTGTATGGGTATGGCTCAGTGTATGGGTATGGCTCAGTGTATGGGTATGGCTCAGTGTATAGGTATAGCTCAGTTATGGGTATGGCTCAGTGTAAAGGTATGGCTCAGTGTATGGGTATGGCTCAGTGTATAGGTATGGCTCAGTGTATAAGTATGGCTCAGTGTATGGGTATGGCTCAGTGAATGGGTATGGCTCAGTGTATGGGTATGGCTCAGTGTATAGGTATGGCTCAGTGTATGGGTATGGCTCAGTGTATGGGTATGGCTCAGTGTATGGGTATGGCTCAGTGTATGGGTATGGCTCAGTGTATGCAGTGTCTGCTCTAGGATTGTAGGACAGCCGGGTACACGTGTACCTGGCGCAACCATTTCAACCGGGTCGGAGCCGGGTACACATGTACTTAGTAGTAGTAGTAGTAGTAGTAGTAGTAGTAGTAGTAGTAGTAGTAGTAGTACTAGTAGTAGTAGTGTAACGGGCCGCAGTCTCTCTCGGAGGCAAATGCAGACGGGTCTCAGTGAACACACTGTTAATAACAATTCTTACTGAACTAAACGGAAGACTACATTGTAAACATTAACTCTGACTCTAACTCTAAACTGACATGAAGAAGGTTCTAACTGGTATCTCTAACTGGCCTTTCTAACTGGCCTTTCTGACTGTAGTTTCTAACTGAACTGTAGAGAATTGTGAACAGCAGCTTTTATAGGGTGAGTAAGTAAGCTAGCCTATGGTCAGGGGATACGTAGAGCAGAAGAAGAAAGGTCAAAGTAAGATGTGTGGGCCACAGTCATTGCACAAGGAATGCCATTTGATTCTATGCAGAAGAAGAAGAAGCTGAATAGCAGTGTGGGCAATGGGCGTAAAAGAGGCGGTTGAATGTGCAGCAGTATTTCTAAGGTCAATATGAAACATTGAACGCAGTGAGACTAGTTACTATTCATGTCATGGATCTGCAAGCACGGTACAGAGTTGCAAGTGCGGGGTACGGGTGCGGTGTAACACGCGTGACCAATACATTGAAAGTGATTCACGCTGCAGCTGCGTGCACGCGTGAGTTACTAGCGTGCCAACGCTACACCTTCCTTCTTTAAACAGAATCACGTCCTCGTGATTAGAGTAGGAGTAGCAGAACACGAAGTGACGAACACTGGTAGAAGATCATGAAGATACGCAGACTAGACTTGGCGAGTAACATTATTTTGATAGCCGGACTCCGACAATCGACTGAGATTAGAAGACACTGGAGGCATGCATGGTCGCGTCGGAATAACCTCGACGGAAGAAGACAGGCAGAATGGATTACTTGCATATACAGGTATGTATTTGTGAACAGCCTCGGTTGATATCCGGACGCAATGAGGACAACTGACATTGAAGTACTGGCTGGAGCGCAGCAGCAGATCACAGGACTGAGAGGTGGTGCGAACATAAACATTGAACATTATAGGAGATAGCGCATCATACTGGTACAGCGTCAACCGGAATATGGCAAAATAATATCGGAAATGATAACCTTTGAGAGTAGACAGAAGAAATGAACTGATAACAAAATCATAAAATAGCATCACTCCAGGTTCACACGATCTCACGGGGCCAAAGGGGAAAAAATTGTCCTCCAAATAGGACTCACAGCGCACTTGCTGTACCACCATGGCGTTTGAGCCATAAAAATAGTTCACAGTTCCAAACTGAACTGGACAAAGGGCACTCTAACACACATTATCCCAGGTTAGCTAGATAGACCGTGGCTCACCATGATCGGACGCCTACCTAACTAAACTGGATTCACACACTCGCATAAAGGAAGACTGAAGAGAACAGGAAGACTGAAGGAAGACAGGAAAGAAAATGCCATAATCAGGAATTAGCTTACGTTGGACATGGAGCTTGATCGGTAGAGACGCTGTCCGTCATCATTTCGGGCTAGGGGGAGACGTGGCGGGGGAAGGAGTAGCGGCGACTGACGCATCAGGTTGGGCCATGCTGGTACCGGTTACACCAATAAAACAATTTACCACTGCCATCAATTCTGTAGCGTCGCTGCCATCAATGCAATACAGATACTAGTTGGGTTCGAATCTAGCAATTATAAAATTGAACCACCGCTGCCACCATTTCTGTAACGAATCCCACCGCTGGCACCATTTCTGTAGCGTGTCCCACCGCTGGCACCAATTCTGTAACGGGCCGCAGTCTCTCTCGGAGGCAAATGCAGACGGGTCTCAGTGAACACACTGTTAATAATAATTCTTACTGAACTAAACGGAAGACTACA